TAGTCAAAATATTATTTATTATTGTTGTAAAGATAACGGGATGAATCCTTTCCCATGAGAATGAAAATCCTGACAAATTATACATGGGGTTATCTGCAGAAAACTTCAGATTCAGTTCACAGAGTCTCCAGGTGAAGGAAACTTCTACTACTGAACTTGACAAGCTGTGGCAAATTGAAGTAGATACCAGACAGTGGATTAATTATTTGATTCAGTCTAAAACAGTTCTGTCTCTTCAGTGAAGCAGCCTTAAGTATATTTTATGTAACGTGTTCTCCTCCTGATTAATAATGGAGAAGAAAGAGCAAAGAGAAAAGTGGTCAACTTGAGTCCTGGTTATTGTATTCTAGTGAACTATTCCACCTCCTCCTGGGATTACGATGACACTCCTCACAGCCTTTTGAACTCCTTACTCATCCCCAAATGCCATCCTTCCTTCTCTCCCCACCCAGCCAAGGTGGATCACATCCAAGGTCAAACAAACCAAAACCCTTCACAAATGTCCCTCTCCTTCTGTGACAATAAAAGTACAACAGGGAGTCACTTACTGCTATTGTTGGATGACGTCTCAAATCTGCTGCCTTAGGCAGGTCATGTATTCTTCCTTATGGTAGGGTCAGCCTTGTCTCAACTCATGTTTGCCCTTGTGAGAGCAAGACATGCTTGGGTGAGTGGGAAGCAGAAAGCTAAGCCCGCTGAGTGCCATTTCTGTGTGCTCTTGTGCTGACCTTTTTGAATTCCTTAAAAAAGTTGGAGATGTGTATAGTTGGAAGCATTTCATTGGAAGTCTCCCTCTCTCTTTCTTTTTCTCTCCTTTTCAGCTTTGCGTTCTCTGCATTTAATTATCACCCAACTCTTCAAGCCATGGCTTGAGGTTTTAGAGAGCGAAGATGCAAGGTAAGCTGGAATCTGTTTAGGATATTGAAGAAAGTAGAGTTGACCAGGGATCCCCACCTAGTTGGGGGATGATGAACACATTGGAAAGATTAAGCATGTGTTCTGGGCAGTCTCCCAAAGTGGCTTCTGTGATGGGCTGCAATAGTCACAAAGCACGCCATTTGCTCAGAAGGCAGATTGGATAGGTTGATCTTAGCTGATCTCTCTGGCCCTTCAAGAGGAGGCTGTCTACCTCTCCAGTTTAGCTAGCTACTTTTTTTCTGGGGAAATGTATATATAGCAGTGTTTCTCAACCTTGGCAGCTTTCAGATGTGTGGACTTCAGCTCCCAGAATTCCCCAGCCAGTGTTGCAGAGAGTAAAGAATAGGCTTGAGACTGGCTCTTTGCACTGTGCTTGCTTCCTGTTTATTTTCAAATGAAAAGAATTAGAAACAAACAAACAATGGGGCAAGGAATTTAGGAGTATCAAAAATGGTGCTTGTGGGCCTGGCACCAGGTTTCAGATGCAGGAAGTAAATGTTGGGTATACTTCTTCAGAGAGCCACTGAGTTTGCCCCCAATCTGCTAAGCTACAACATAATCCAATCTCATTGGTCAGAGATGTTGCATTAGTAGATTCCTGCAGTGTGCAAAGATTGGGACTTGTTCTCCATCCCTCTTCCAACCCTTCCATTCTTTGATTCTGTAGCTAGTCACATCAAGTAGCCTGCAGGCTTCAGTTAGTGCTGGAATTGGGAGAAACACCCGTTTGGCTAAAGTCAGCTCTCTCTCTTTCTTTGTCTTTTTGGAAAGCAAACAGCCCTGCTATCCATGGCTGGAGAGTGATTCTTCCATCGCATCGACTGTGGTGGAGTTGTATGCATCCAGCATAGCCATTTTACACAAAGGTTTTAAAGGTAAGAACATTGAGCAGGGGGACCTTAGGAATTCGAGCGGCTAGATGGATCAGACGCCTGTATGGTGGCTGTTGATGTCACAGACATGGACTAAGTTCTGCAAAAAATTATCCCTTGCGGTAGCCTTTCCAACCTGGAAGTAGCAGGACTACAACTCCCAGCATTCCCATCTGGCGAGATCTTTAGAAAGAGTGTTATACTTCTGGGTAAAGGTTCCCTGGTTCCCACAATCTCTTAATTCCCCCTCCTTCTCAATTCTTAGGTGGTTGAGAAAAAGGAGATCTCTTGGAGCATTTGGAGCATCTTTCTTGTGATTTTGTGCACCCTGAACTCAGGGAAGATTTCTCTAAGGCTGTGCTGTTTCTGTTCATTCTCTCCTTTGTTGTTGTTCCAGATAAGCTGCTGCCAAGTGACCAAGGAGCCCTTTGGCTCCTTCTGATGCACTACTGTGAGGCATGCACAGCACCCAAAATGCCAGAACACATTCTTCATATATTCCATATGGAATTTGGTCACCTGCCCTGGAAGGAAATGTATCCGGAACAGCACCTTATGGAAGAATTCTTTAAGGTGATTGCTAATTGCTTGTGAGCATAACACAGGGAACCAGGGAAGGAATGAAATGATGCTTAAGATCTGAGCTTCATTCTCCCTTCCTCCTTCTGCAAACTCTCCAGGCCTTTTAAAATCTCCTTTGTGTGGGACCCATCACTGGCAGAAGGTGGAGAGTAGGAGTTCATTGAATAGAAAAAAATCCTTAATGTTTTTTATTTATTCTCTTTGCTCTTTCAGGTACCTAATCTGAGGTTTTGGCAGAAATCTAATAATCCCAATGCAATATAAATGCAATAATAATACTAAGAGTGTTGATCTGGTGCCAGCTGTTTGGATGTCAGCATCCCCAATCCCTTGCCATTAGCTGTGCTGGCTGGGACTGTTAAAGAGTTGGAGTCCAAAACATCTGAGGTGCCCAATTGCCTGTGCCTGAAAACTGGAATGTCAGGCCAAGTTTTGTCTTCTCCCTTGACATATCAGATTTTTACGTAAAGGGAATTGGGGATGACCATCCCATTGGCTCTCACTTACCATCTTGGTGGAACAGCCCTATCTAGCTGAAGGACAACCAAATTTCAGCTTCTCTTTTCCCCCTTCAGTTATGCCAAGGATGATCTGTTGTTCCCCCTTTTCCTAGTATTTAACTGGTGGCTGCATTCTCACAATAAGCTGTGGTTGGTTAGCGTTAAGCTTGTGTTGGATTTGTGCGTGTGGCTTTCTGTATTCCAGCTTGTTTGCTTGGTTTGTGATTCAGTGCCTTGGGCAACCCCCCAGCATGGAATAACCCAGCATGTTGGGCAGACCCGGCTGAGGAATGGCATTGCTTTGCTAGCTGACGCAGCGCCATCAGCGCACTTGACAGTGGAGATTTTAGCAGGACTGGCTTGATCCTCCATATTGGCAGGACTCTCCTCCCTCCAAAACAGTACAGCAAGGACAGGACTTGGTGGCCATGGAAAATGGTGATTGGAAAGGAGCAAAACAGAAAATCAGAAGGGTGGGAGGAATCATGATTTTGCTGAAGGTCTTAAGGTGTCCTGTCCTTCCTCTCTTTGTTTTTAATTTTTTTGTCCTAGGTAGAAAGAGGCAGCCCCAAGAGTTGTTTCTTATTCATGGGCTCAGTGCTGTGTGAGGTCAACTGGGTCAGTGTCCTCTCAAACGCCTGGGATCCCAGCCCACCTCCGGAAACACACAGCATGATCGTGTGCCTGCTTTATATGGTGGTCCTGCTGGCCAAAGAGGAGCAGCTTATAACTACAGAGGTAAGGGTAGACTCCCCTCCCAGGCAAACCTGATTCCTGGCAGCTTCCCAAGCACATCCATCTAGTTTTCTTGGTAGCAGAAATGTTTCTGTATTGGTTTCTTCTGCTTTTTCCTCTCCTAATGTCAAGTCTGACTTCCCACACTGGGAGTTCATGGCAGTCTCCCACCCAAGTACTAATCAAGGCTGACCCTAGTTACTTCTCCTCTCATCTATGATTGGTGGTTGCTGTTGTTCTCCATGAGGTCAGCCTTACCTCGCCTGCTGCACTCTGGGTATGTTGAGTCTGTAGCTCCCGGAACACCTTGCTAGCGTGGGACCCGTTTAAGCCCAGGTTGCCCTGCCAGGTTAGGAAAGATTCCACCAAACTGTCCCTTGACATGGAGCTTTTCAGATTTTTCAGTTTCTGGTGTTTGCATTTCAGGGAAGATTTCTGTTTATCGTACTCTCCTGCCAAAGATGTCTCTCTTTCTGGTGTTTCTGTGTGATTTCAACAAATTATTAGGTGCAGAAGGGTACCTGAGCCTCCGTTGTTGCTTCAAGTGTCCTAAGCAGTGACTTAAAATTGGACACCACCATTTGGACATAGGAAGCTGCTTTAGAGCAAAAGAAACCGTTTCTCACTAGCCAAGAAGCATTGACTTTCTTTGCAGTAGCTCTCCTGGGAGCTCCTGCAGAGGAGGAGGCCATCTTTGGAGAGGTTGGGCCTCTCGTTCATTCTAGTAGGCAGGGTGGAGCAAATTAGATTAGATTCCCTCTTCCGGTAGGACAGTTGCCCTGGGCCTTGTGTGGTCCTTAAAATCCTGGGGTGCAGCCCTGAGAACCCTTGTGAATGTTGCTAGTGAACTGTAATATTTCAGGTAGGAGCAGAAGGGGAAAATGATTAACTATCTGGAGGAGAATCTTGGTCACGGTGCTTAATTAAATATTAAATTGCACTTAGAATCTGTTCTGGACCTTTGTTTTCTTGGGTCTACCTACTTCATGGATTGCAGGTCATATTCATGCAAGGCCAAGAGCAGCCCTTGGCTTGAAAAAAAAAACATCACTGTCCCATTCCTGTCTAAATGTGAAGCTCACCAATGTCTCATGTTTGTGAATAAAGCCAGTCAGATGATCTGGGCTTGAGACTTACTCTTGTGGCTTCACAGTTTAAGCAGATGTTTGGTGTACAGAACTTTATTGCAGGGCCCTTCCGGTTTGAAAGATCACATGACAAGTGATGGGAAACCTTTGTGACTGTTGGGAGTCACCAGAAATTGGTTAACAAATAAATCTGCATTGTTCCTCCTAGACTTGGGAGGACAACAGCTGCTGCTGGGTCAAGCTGCACTCTGAAGAACCTCTGCAGAGTTCTCTTGGACCCAGACTTAAAGTTACCTTGCCCAGAATCTTCCTGGCTTCAGTACCCAAACAGATTTGGAAGTTCCCAAGTAGGGCAGAACATGAGAGGGCTTTCCTGCCTACGATTCTCAACAGTTTAGAAGGATTCTGTCTCTAATCCTGAGGACAGTCATATGTGGCTAGACAATAGCCTAGTCTTCCCTGAACTTATTTCATCCCTTCTTAAAGTCACTTAAAAGGTAGAAGAAAAGCGGTGAGGATTTAGGCTGCCAGAATTTGTATTAACAGACAGGGGAGCCTGGATTGATTCTCCCAACATCCCTGCAGGGAGGATTTGCTTTAATTGACACTTCTTGTGCACTGTATCATATTGTGTTTCTGTAGGGTCCCTGATATAGCAAAAACTCTAACATCACCCCCTTTGGCTCTAGCTGATAACTGAATAAGTTCCCCCCCCCACTTTGCAAATTTGGGCTGATCTAATGAAGATATGGTCTCTTTGAACCACTGATTGAGTCTTTTTACTGTCTGCATGGATTCTGTTGTGCTTTAAGAAAAAAAGTTTACGCCGAAGCAGTTGGTGTATGAGAGATTTCTGCATTTGGGACTTTCTTTAAATGGCATTAAATCCAGAACCTTTTTCTCTTAGGAGCCATTGTGTTAGGAATAGAAACAACCTGTTCTTGACATGACTCACCTAGATGGTCACATTGTCTTTCTTGGATTCGCTTTCTCCAAGTAGGGTGGTAGAGAGCGTCATGAGTGAAATGCCTGTTTTTCTTCTCTCTCCAGCAATCTCCGTTGCTCAACCTCCTCGGCCAGACCAGCTCCCTTCCCTGGCAGCACATCAACATTCTGTCCTATCAGAGCATCCTCAGTTACTTCAATAGCCACTACCCTCCCTCTATCCTTCTGGCCAAGGAACCGGCAGCTGAACTGGTGGTGAAACTCTTGAAGGAGTCTGCTGGCTTCAGCACCTCTTTTGACAGTGGTGGGCACCTTGTAAGTGGGTCCTTTTTTTGTATGATAAACTCTGGCTCCCACCTGGTTCCATTGGAGAACAGAGGGAGGGAGTGCTCTTCATTGTCTGTCTTCTTTCTAGGATGCCAGCCTCAAGTGCCGAGCCTTCATCCGCCAGGTTGTCCACTTCCTTGGCCTTCTGGAGCAAAATGGGACAGTTGCCCCAGCGGTCTTGGAGCAGGAGTTCTCAAAACTGCTGGATGATATTGTCATCTTTAATCCTCCAGGTTGGCTCCAAGAAAATTCTGCTTGATTGGGGTGGAGAGTTGAGCAGAGGGATAGCATTGAGTCAGTGATTTGATTTTGCTCTCTTTGGATATTCAGATTTGCAGCTTGACCAGGTCATCCTTGTCTTTTAGAAAGCCCAGGAATGCACCGCTGATTTTATGCCAAGTGGTGGAGCACCAGCCGAGTTGCCCCATCCCTAGGGTGCATTCTTGTTCTCCTCTATCACTAACATCTGGAGAGTAGTAGTAGTCAGTATCCGCTTTAGACATAGTTGGGAAGGACTACCAAGAAGGTTTATTTCTCAGCACTGGGGAACGATGAAGCTTTATCTCACGACCATTCTAAAGAAGGCCTCTGCTTCATGCAGAACTTGAGCCTGTGATTCAAGAGTCTCCTTAGTTCTCAACAGTTTTTATCTTGTCTTTGCAGACACTGATGTGCAGGTTCGCAGCCTGTCCATAACCAGCCTCTTTGCTGAAGCCCTGATGGTTATGAACAACGCCAGTGTCACCTCGGCAGAATCCCTCCTGGTTTGTCTGTGCCGCTGGATTGACAGCACAATGCATGGATTGGGGGCGATGCCCCTCTTAACAGCCTCTTGCCAGAGTTTGGCATCCGTCCGACACATGGCCATGGCCATGGAGGCTTGTGTCACCGCCTACTTTAACGAAGGTGAGAGAGAAGTCGCCATTCCTGACAGATTGCATGCTGGGGCTTCTGAGCAGATTCTGTCTTTTTTCCTGTGGGCTCAGTGGAAATAGCTGCTTCTTATTTTCCTGATATTATCATCCTTATGTTCACTATCAGTTCTGTTCCTTTGGACAACATCCTGCAGATAAGCTTGTAAAATGTGGAAGGTGAGCCAGGGATATGAGCAGGCCTTTCGTTAGTCGGGCCATGGTGAGCTGAATGATGAAAAATTAAGTGACCACGTTTGCAGGTCTCAAGTACATGTCAAAAGTGTGTGATTCCTTTTGTGGTTCATTGTTTGCCTTACTTAATACCCTCCCATTGATTTTTTTAAAAACGGTTTTCATGTTTTGTGGAAAGTGAGTGAACTTGTTGATTGGTACAAATTTAAGCAGTGCTAAAGAATGGAAGGCAAATGGTTACACAGTTGATTGCTCTGCCTTCTTTATCATTGCCCAGATGGTTTCGTTTAACAGCTTTGCTTTTCCTTTCCTCCTCTTCTCTCCTACCCATCTCCCCCTTTTTTGGATGAAGACCCTCCTCTCAACCAAGATTTGGGCTGGGGACCAATTGTAGCCTCCTTGCAGGTTCCGGAACTCACAGCTGAAGACTTCCTTCAAGAGTCTCTTTCGCTGGGAGGCTACCTAACCCTTTACGTTTACACACTGCAGCAGTTGAATGCTGAGCGGACCCTGGCCAATGAAATGCGAGTGCTCTTAACTTTGAGCAAGTGGTTGGAACAGGTCTATCCCAGGTATATCCGTATATGGCTTAAAACTGCAATATCTGTTGGCAGGATTCTTGACTACTGACCTTCTAAATGCTCACAAAATGCCTTTTGTTCCTTTTGCTGCTTTATCATTTCCACTGAATTTAGTTACAAGCAGTAGCAGAGCTGTACAGGCGTGGTCCCTTCCAACCTCCAAAAGGAAGGCGGCAAAATAATTAAGATTCTAGCAAACCCATTTCCCCCCTTCCTTACTAATTTTACTATGTCATCCTTATTTACTTTGTTCATTTACAAGATTTGTATGCTGCCTCAATCTTAGACTCTAGGTCAGTGTTTCTCAACCTTGACAACTTTAAGATGTGTGGACTTCAACTCCCGGAATTCCCCAGCCAGCCATGCTGGCTAGGGAGTTC